TTAAAAGAACCTTTCAGAATTTTTCAAGATGCTCCGTTTTAAATAAAACTACTCGCGATTTGATTAACGAAAGAGAACAACAAATATATAGGACAGTTTTGAGTCTTATTTCTTTTTAAAAATCGACTAGTCAAACAGTCGCTCTAGGAAAATAACGAAAACAGACGTTGGGCTCTTGTTTAGATACGGACCACCCCGTGCATTTTTCCGCGTGTTTATCGTTCGGAAGGTTCGAGTGCTCGGACCACTCGAGATATCGGAAGAGAAAAGGTGGCTCGAGAACACTTCACATTTTCGGTCGCTGTTGCTTCATTCCGCGGTATGTCGTTCGTTCTCCCATTTTTTTTACCTACATATAATATTTAATGACAAATATATTTCACATTGATAGGTATACGCATAGACCAACCTACGCGTTGTCGATGAAAATCTCAAAAATTATTTTAATGCCGGCAATCAATTGTGAATTGTGTTGTTTACAAATATCAACGACTTGTAATTGAAAATACCGAATGGATTTTAAAATCCCTAGCGACAGTGACATCCTTTATCGCGCGTCTCGCAGCGCTTCGCGCCTCGCTTTGAATATACAAAGCGTTATTTTCGCCGCGACACTTGACATAACCGCGATAAAAATAGCGGCGGGCTGTCTGCAATTTGTCTAGTGGCGCTCTCGCACCTTGCTCCAATTGCGAGAGAGCGATTCGCGCGTTCTCTATACGTATATATTTCACCGGAACATCTCGTCGCTTCACGACCAAAATCTCAATTCTAAATTTAACCCCGAAATAAACCTATCTCTCGAGTTCGCCGGGATTACGAACGGGACCCCGAAATGAAGATAAAATCGGGTAAACATCGGATAAAATCCTCTACCAGCGATCCTCTACCCGTAATACCTATACTGAGATCGTATAATTGTTTGTTTGCACGGGGTGTTCGAAATGTAACAACGAATCCCGTTAACAGTGCATAAACATTACCTATATACCTATTGGATCAGTTTTATTTTTAACTAAAATAATAAAGGAGCTTTATAGTGCATAAAGTTAATTACATATGCACTCATGAAAATGTTAATAAAAGCAAACTAATGTCTAAAAATATAAAATTTAAATTTAATTCATAACTTTTAATAGAAGATTAAAATAGAAACATAATAATTGGAGAATAAAATGCACACGAGAAAGTCATATAACTGATGTTTGAATTTTTAATCAAAAGCGCATTAATTTTAAACAAATAAAGATTTAAAAAAAAGTGCACTTACTCTACATTTTTTCGCCAATTTTCTACATACTTTACTCAACACCTACCTCCAATTATGTTTTGAAAACCCTAAGTAAACGAATTATTTTTCGTAATTTTCACTAGCTAATGAATCGAACGCTTTGATACGCCCCGTTCGTATTTGTCATTGATTGACTCGTTAGCGGCTTTTTATTAATACAGAAACTAGGTGACGATTCGGTAATTGAAACCAGAAATAGTACGCCTCGTCAAGCAGCCAGGCAAATTACCATCTAATTAATGATGATTCTATACGAGAAAACTAAAAATACTACATACATCTATTAATAATTCCAAAACGTTTTGCTTTGTTGTAAATTAAAATATCTTTTTGTTAAAAGTAATGATCCAAGTTAATTACTTAAATGCTTGGAATGTAAATAAATTGTTATCACAATTTCCTATGAAATTATAAAGCTACATAAAAAAAGGGGATAAGAGTAGGTATCTAGAAAAATTTTAATTAGAACAAACCAAAAATGTAATCATACATTACCGTCTATTTAAATCGGAAATAAATCGATTAGTGACTACATTAATTGAGCAATAAAAAAAGCGTCGAGTAAATTTTAACATCAAGTAGCACAAGAATAGTTAAATGCGAAGAATCGGGTCGATTTTTATATCGACGTGACGCGCAGTAATTCGTAAACCACGATTATAACCGCAAAAAAGTTCCGTTGTCAGTATTCACAATTCACCAATGATAAAAAGGAAATAATTAAAATATTTATCGATATGTTGCGGTCGATGAAGAAATCTCGAAATAATCGACCGCGTTGTACTCACCGCCTCCTTTTACCTGGTAGAACTAATTCTGAGTAATAGTTTTGTGGGAACAGATGCGTCACATTAAACAAACAATTTTATTTATTCAATTTTCGGCGGTTTCGGCTTTTAAATTATTATAATTAATCTTGATTTGATGCTAACAAGCGCTAAGTAGTTGAACGAGTGAATGTGTTAAATGTCAGGCACACTTTTGTGTTTAGCATACGTATTTAATATAATCAATAGGATAATTGGATAGTTCACTTAATACATTAATGTTTTCATCTCTCTGTAATACCTATAATATGTCGTTTTGATTTATTATTTTATAGTTGCAAAGAAAAGTATTTTTGTAATTCGTTATGTTATAAAGCAAGTTGATTTGGAAAATATTAAGACATAAACGAATTTCGCAATTTCATTAAAGATTTATCCAAAGGAATAAATGAATTTAATTTAGTTTGAAATAGTCCGGAATCTCGAAGCATCGCCGTAACAATAACTAAGTAGATAGAACAAAACGAATCCGAGACGAGCAACTTTCTTCTTAATTTATCTTTGCACTAACCAACCGGTTACTGCACAACGAAATTGTTGGTGTTATATACGGGAAACTTCTTTCGCTCCGTCTCCTTCTACTTCTCGATATCGCGCCTTCCTCCTTACATCCTTGCCACTTACTGTGCCTTCTTACCTATATGTTATGTATGTGCTTATGTGCATGTGTTGGAATACAATGCAATATGATATTGCACAAAAACGTTGGTATGCAAAATCTCGCTGCGAGCAAAGGGATACCTAGATTTTCTGATAATGAGGTGATTGAACTTTTGTTGAAATTTCGCATTTCTCATGTTAGTTGTGGAACGTGAGCTTTCTCATTGCTCGCTTTTATTATTTATACGTACGTAATATTATATTAAATTAATTCGATGATCAAACGCAAAATAAATTCCTCCTAAATGGAGGAACTGTACGCGAACAAACGTTTTTGTTATTGAGCATTGACACAGTCTCCTAGCGATATTTGGCATTCGCTTCTTTGATGTTTGTAGAGAAGATCAGCTATTTCCTGAAAGGCCAATCCTCTTTTTGCACTCTCATGCATTTGATTCATTTTTGAGATAGTTTGTTCAGGATATGAAGTCAATAAAGCCCCGCTAACAAAGCTAATAGTCATTTTCTAAACATATACCCAAGACTTTATATGAAAATATTTACCTAATTGGGTAAAAGTAAGTAAACGTAAAATTCGAATGTATTCATTGTAAATTTTGAATTACTTTTGTGGAAAATGTAGGTACATATAATAGAAAGTACGAACACAAGATTATTCGCTAAAATTGTTATTCGTTGTATAATAAAGCGATTAAAAAAACTGAATAAACTCGTATGACAAACATATCTAATAAAACATAAAAAGAGCCGGGTTGTAATTGTTCGTTTTATGAACAATACAGTTCCAAGAAACGGGATTTTTTGGCAAAAGCTACAACATATAAATGTTAAACTTAGCAGACCGTGTGAAGCTCGTCTATTTCCAAAAAGTTTATGAAAAATAACATCATCGTCACGTTATGCACGATAATACATGCAAGCGTAATGAAAATCGAAACAGAAATAAAAAAGATACTTGGATAGCATACAGGAGAATTTATCAGACCGTGTTAGTGTTTTGACTAATTGGCTATTTACCTACTTGTTACACCGAAGAACTATATTGGAGACTAAATATTTTTTTTCTGAATTACAATCCCATCCACAGGAATTAGTTATTTAACGAGGAAATATTGTAATATTTATAACAATTTTTATATATTTGTACATAAGAAATTGCTGAATATTCGCTTTGAAAAAATTAGATAAACGATTATATCACAATGAATGAGATTTTTTTAAATTATTTCTAGTACTTTCAAATGATTGTGTTCAGTGCAAAGGTGTTCACCAGTCGGTTATCTCAGTTTTGAATCTTTCTATTATTACTTAAGCACTTTCATGTGAAAGTGGGATTATATGCAGATTGTCGATTTATGATTTATGATGCTTTCCTTGAGCACGAGAAATAACAAAACACCATCTCAAATTTAAAATTAACAAACATCTCAGTGAAAATTAAAAATAATAACCAATTATAAATCATCCTGCTTACAATGTTGTATGTTAAAATACAAGTATTTAATGTGTAAAGAAGCTGTAGAATTTTGTTAAATAAATGAAAAAATCGTTCCCCTCAACTTTGGAAAACTCCCGGTATCCGGAGAAAACAGAAACTTAAATAAAAGGGAAAACAGAGAAAAACAGGTATCTGATAATGGGGTTAATGAAACTTGAAATGATAAAAATTTCATTAAACGAAACGCGAAGAGGAGAATTGATTTTTGCGTTAAATTTAATTGAAGTCTCATTCCCCAAACTAAGCGCCCGAAATTAGTTAAAAATTCTGGGATCGTTAGAAAATGAATATGAATATTCAAGAAAATACGTGTTATGCAAATAAGAGATTTTTTGTATTGTTTTTCGGTAATTGAAATCGCTATTTAATTATCTGTGTACTTAGGTATACATAATGAAAGTTTTTGTATAGGTACCTTAGAAATGAATAATACAGTGAGTAAAAAATCAATCAAGATATTTGATGAATTAAGTTGGACCCTTGGGTTTTTTATATAACGTTATTTATATATTTTTCTCGGGGTTTAATGGGATTGGTTTAGTAACTATAACATTATTGAAGATTATAGGTTACATCTAATAAATTTCTACAAGAATTTCCACTCCTCGTAGAGATCTCGATTAAAGGAACACGATTTTTATGAATAAAAATATCCACACAAGCCAGCAAACAATCCAGCCTTCCCTCTGGATATCGACCCCAATCAATAAATCAAATTATATTCATAAAAAATATACAAAGGTGACTATAAGATATGGCTTACCTATTGTTATAAGTGTATGGTACATTATCGGCGAAGAACTGGCACAAATTGATTTAAAATCACCAGGCACAATCACTCAACGTATCCACAGCGCTTTAAATGTTATTACCCAGTCGGTTTAAGTGAAAATTCGGGCTAAATTCCACGGAAACTGAGTCGACAACACTTCACCAGTTCACTTCTTGCAGCAACATTCCATTGCCATTTTGTCACTGCACAGCTTCTCTGGTTTCGATCGTGGCTCCACCTGAGGCCGGTGCACGCACTCTACCCGAAAGAATTTCTTTCATGCGCCGTTCCACAATTTTATTTCATTCAATGTTTAATGATGGACTATTACTCCCGCAATACGTATCTTACTTCGAATAGAGCGTTATTTAAATTTCAAACAAATCTTACCGCTCGTATTGAATAAACAATTGATAGGCAATTTTATAAAATTTTACACTACGTTCATAGGCAACATGATTTAGAGGCATGTGTAAAGGTAGTTGCCTAATTTCTAGGTGCATATATTTTTGTATGGATTTCAAAAAAATAATTAAATTTGGTATTTTGAAGCATTTCGTCATTTTAATGATGAACATAAATGCAAAATGGTCAATTCTATGAGTTGAAAAAATAGTTTATTAAAATAACAGGGGTTAGAGTGAGAATGTTGCAATTTCACTCTTTCTTCTTCATTTATATGAGGCTAATGGAAGTTGTCTTTGTTGCACCTACAGACTATTTTGCGTAAAACTTTGCACTTATCTGTATAATGATTTATTTAGAATAAAAATTATTCTTAATTTTCAAATTTTATTTCTTTAGATAACATACAAAATTATTTAAAGTTCTGTTAAAACACAAAATTCAACAAAAACTAACATTTCCTTACATAATGAACTAGGCACTTGCCGAGAAATAAACGAATAACGCACAAAAATAAATCAAATCCTTAAAAATAAGAATCGTCTTGAGCAGTAAAAATCTAAATCTAAAACAAAACGAACAAAAAAATACTCTATTTCTTCAACTCTTTTTCTACTTCGGGTATTTCGATCATATACTTCTCATCGTTGATGTACTCCAAAATTTTTATGTTCACTTCTTCGCCTTCAGGTATGAGTTCCTTGACACGGTCAATATTTTTCTGAGTATTCGGAATATCTATAATTTAGTATACAATTAGTAGAATTATTCCAAATTGTACAAATACGTACTTTTAAGGGCACAAGGGATTCCAAGTATAGGAATACTTTTTAATTCCTCAGGGAACTTCCTGATGTCTCCTGATGCCACAGTAGCTTTAGTTCCAAAATCGACCATATTTACAATGTAACCAGATTCATTCTCGTCAATCACAACAGCTCTATTCAAGCAAGCTGGAAATTAATAATAATGTTCATACAGGATAGGTCCAAATTGTGCACAACATATTGTGAACTTATACAAGAAAAAGTTCTTGGCCTGACAACGAAACACCGCGATTTTCTGTTGATAAATTACATTATTCTTCTAATTAAGTCGAAATTTTTAGTTCAAGACAGTTCTAACTTATTTTGGAGCGTTTTAAATGGTTCTAGACGGTTCTAAATGATTCTGGAGCGTTCTAAATGGTTCTGAAGCATTCTAAATGGTTTCAGACAGTTCTAAATGGTTCAGAGCGAGAACTTTCCACCCTACCCTCGAATATCATAAAAACCAATAACTACCTTCAGTTTCATCGGGAGATTTGTACAAAACCAAACACATATCCAACAATTCAGGTTTAAAGGGATTATCGTCTGCGAGTACCTGCAACTGATTATCAGTGTATTAGTTTGAACTAAAGTAATTATGTTAGTTGGTACCATATCAGTAACTTTTTCTAAATATTCTACAGACTCTTCGCTCATTGATATAAATGTCATGTCTTCCAAGCTGGTGATGTCATAGCACAAATAACTGCCGCTGGTTCCAATTTCGGCCTTAATGAATGGCATATCATCGTATGAAATAGACTTTTTCGCAAGCGAAACTGGCTTATCTGTATAACAAAACGAAAACGTTACATTCGATAATTATCAATAGCCAAACGTTGACTAACCTTCTTTTTTCTCTACTTTTTCAGCAGCAATTTTCGGAGTTGGGACTTTCTTCTCAACCTCAGAATTATTGGGAGTACTCGTTACCGGGACAAGTTTGGGAAGCTCTTCTTCTACCGGATTCAACTCTTCCGATAACAAATTTCCGCTTTGCAATCGCAAGTCACAACCAGCGCCAGTCATTACCTACAAAAATCACGTTTGAAACCTAATACTTAAATTCCTCGCAATCCTATTTACAATCGTCGCTTTCTCTTTATTCTCGAACAGTCTGGATATAAACTCCACATGATTATCCAGAGAGTCGTTGATAAATTCCATTTTGGGGGTCATCAATAAAGTACAGCCTTGAGCAGCCAAATAATCATCGACGTTCCTCAGAGATTTAACCGATAATTGATCTTCACCGGGACAATCTAAATACTTTACAGTAACAATCGTCGGTGACACTTTGTTCTGAACAACGCCTCTACACAGATTAGGCAAGCCGTCTTTGGAACAGAGGATTAATTGCCCTTCTTTAACGGACGTTAACAGCATCTCTGCAACAATTGAAAAATTCCGATTAGTCGGTGAAAGAGGAACGTTGCGGAAACTTACCGGATTTGTCCAAATTCTTGATATACTCTAAGATCTCTTTGTTCTTTTGGGCACATTCTTTCGTGCGAACAGCGAATTTGTTGTCGATCAAATCGATCAACATAACTTTATCCCCGTCCTTTAGTTCCGCCAATGAAGCAGGAACGTCGAAATAGTGTTTCTCTTGAACAATGGGTTTTTGTACCTCTTGTTCAACGCGTTTTTCTTCAACCTCTTTTCTAGCGGGTTGTTTCAGTTCTTCGACTTGTTTGGCGGGTTTCGGTGAGATATCAGAAGCTGGTTGGTTCGATGGAGGTTCGATGTCAACACAGTAAGTGCCATCTTGAAACTAAGAAAAATAAAATGCAATATTACAATTGAACATTAAAAGTATAGTCCTTTTCAAGATATAGTAGAAAAGAGGCGTGAGAGCTTAGGGATTATAGCAATAAAGTAATGACTTTCCTAATACCAATACAATGGAACGTTGAAGCACTTCGGTCGGGTCGGGTAGTAAACAGTATTTACATTTCGAGGTAAGAACTTAAGAAATGTTATTTAATGAGTATTTTGTATCGCCGCTTATCCGCAGCGAACGTACCAAACTTAAAATACGGTTCTGCGTCCTTCGACCGGCGAGTACGGCGTGTACCCTAAACAGCACCAGGTAGTCGTAAACTCATCAGCTTATAAAGTCATTTTCTACTATATCTTGAAAAGGACTATACACATAAGTTATTTTTTTTTTAAATTCAAAACCCTGTAGCTCGAAAACTAAGAAGTTTAGGACATATATTGGTATAAACTTTTCTTCTTAAAATATTATTCATACTTACTTGTTTTATAATGCTAATTTTCAGATCTAAATCAGGTACTAATTTAGGCAAGAAGGACTGCGTACTGACTGTTATTCTATTGGCAGCTGCCGGAAGTTTTCGATGCTGTTGCGGCAGCTCCTTAATCGAACTAACGATTTCTTTATTGCCATAATCGATAAATAAAACTTGCAACGGGTCGGTACTCATAACTCTGCAGCGGTACCTACATAAACCATTCGAGTTAAAACTACTCGTACTGCATATTCTGTCATTCGAATGCTTACCAAATATCATCCAAAGGTGCAATGGCGAGTTGGCCTCTTTTAATATTTTTAACGTCTTCGATTTCGTCAACGGAGCTGTTCAATTCGACGACGAATTCCAACAATTCATCGATACTTTCAGTGGTTTGCACCCAACAGACGTTTTCGGTATCTACAGATGAAATGCGCACCTGAAAGTATAAAATAAAAATACACTAATTTGTTATACTAACTTTTGTTGATACTTACATTGTATTTTTTATTGATCTGCAAAATGATTTTATCGATTTTATCAATATCTTCCAAAAATTTCGCAAATGGCACTTTTTTTGCATGTTTCTGGGACGAAGAGGAATGATCGCTGGTCTCGCTCTGTGTATCATCATTTTGCTTTTCAAAACTAGCATTAGAACCGCCAAAATTGCTGAGGAAAAATCAAATACGTTACTAGGTTAGTTTACAAGCACTTCATTATATCGCTAAATGCAGGTTTGCTTGCAATATGGCCAATTCTACGAGTTTAACAAAGATAGATTTTATTAAAATAACAGTTGTTAGAATGAGATTGCAACTAATTCATAAAAATATCTGGAGTAATAAGAAAATTATGATAGAAAAGTTTTTTTTTTTTCTAAAACTGTAACATGTTGTAGCTCGAAAACTAAGAGGTTTAAGACTCATATTGAGATACATTTTTCTTCTTAAAATCATACAAATATTTACATCCTGAAGTATCGGCACTCAATTAATTAACACTCTGTATACCATATTGCGTACAAATTTGCACTTGTCTGTAAATTACTTTGATCCTGGAGATCTCATTTGTCTTCCGTCTTGTTTGTTCCTCTGGAATTCATCGTTGTTTTGCCTTGCTCTAAAATATTACATAAGATTTTTTCATCACTATGTATTATAGATAATCGTGGCTAGATTTACCTGGTATCGGGGGCATTGTTGTAAGGTTTACGAGGGTAAGTAGAATTATTATAATTCAGTGACCTGTTTGTATTCGATACAGAATTCACAGAGTTTTCACGCGGAGGTGAAAAGAGCTTATCGTTAGACTGGGCCTTATTCTTAGCCAAGTTATTGCCAATGGTCACCGTAAATCCAGTTGCCGATTTGGAACCGTTGTCCTGGAGGTTCAAGTCCCCTTCTATACCCAACTTCATTTTACAACTGCGAATAATACAAAACGTTAACAAGAAACGATGGGAATTATGCATAAACTCACCGGTTTATGACATCCAGAATATCATCATCGTTGATACATTTCACGTTGTTTTCCAGCAAGTATTCACTAGCTTTGGTTAGCATGTACAGGTTGAATTCCTTCTTTATGACATCGTTTCTAAAAGATAACAGAAATAAATCAATCAATCGATTGATCGATCAGTATTTAGGCGAGTGTAGGTCACCTTTCTGAATTTCGGTATCTTCTAAGAGATTCGTATTCGGGGCGAGTGAAGATGGCGAATCCCATTTTTTGGACCGCTCGAAGATTGACGAAATTCTCGCCGGTTTCGTCGGCGAAAATTTCCATTGGGTCGCCGAAAACATTGACGAATTCGTCCGAAATCGCCTCGCATTGGGAGTATTCCTGCAACATCTTGGAGTTGTTTCCAGGTTTCCTGAAACAATTAAGGTGTATTTTTCCAGATATGTTCTAGGAAAATGTTTAATTAGGACTTACTCGTACTTTGACTCGGTGATGTTATGTTCGGAAGGATTTTTACTATCGAAATATCCTTGAAGTATCCAACCTTGAGGGTTGTGTTTTAGGGCATTAAGTGCAGGAGTATAAGAGCTTAAAAGCGCGGAAATGAGTTATTATGAAAATATATTTGTTAGAGCTCATCTTACTTTTTATCTTTGAAGTAGATTTTAACAAATTTTCCTTCGGGGTCGGTGAATAACTTTCGAATTTCGCCAAATTTTTGAAATTCTAGTCTGAATACACTCTGAAATAAATGAAAAATTGATTCTTAAACGTTATCACTAAAGTAATATACTTTATTCTAAAACTTATATTATTAAACGAGAAAAGAGGCCATATAAAGAAATAATAGATCAGCTAAAAGTAGTCACAAATTTCTGAATGAAAAATTTCAATAATCCAATAAATAATAATAAATATACGTGTGTATTATTTGATGTCTTACAGTAAAATATCTTACCCTATCAATGCATTTGTTGATATTTGTAACTAAAATATGTGGATCCCTAAAACTAAAATTGAGTTTATAATATAACTTGGAACAAACAATTTTTTGTATGTACAAAAAAGCCTTTATTAATTTTACAGAAATTTTAGTGCAGTGCAAGCAAATGTTAATGTAAATATTAGAATGTTATATCTAGTTACAAGATAATCAAAACTAGTAGGTAATTTCAGGAATTTGTCAGCAATATCTACTCTTTCAAATCATATAATTTTTCATTTTAGTTACTGTTCAAATACTGAATGCATATTTTGTGAGATCCTTTTAAAAAAACTGTAGTGTTTATGATATTTTTCTCTAAAGAAATTGGACAATCAGGTAATATTCTTCAAATTAAGCATAAAATAATAATTACATTATAACAATTACAAGTATATATTTAAATTTAAAAAATGTAATGTTACATATTTGCGATTGAATAGTAATTTAATTAGTAAAAACAAATACAAACTTAAGATTCATTTTTGACAATACTAGATTGCTGTATTATATTAATTCTCAATGTGCAAATGATATCAAACTAGGGTGGTTGGACAAAGTTAATTAAAAAATTAATGGTTAGGAAAAAAGAAACTATACTACTTATGTAGAAATTTAAATAAAAATACAAAATAGGTATATGTAGAAGAAAAGAAAGATATATCTCTATAGTTATAAAATTACTACTTTTTACAAAAATTATCCCAATATTAAAATTGTTGCAAAGTATCCAGTTTCCAGATTATTGTTAATTGATTAAAAAGTTACCTAATTAAACATACCCATGCAAGGTATCGAACACCTTAAAGACTATTAAGAGTACTAGAATTGCAAATATAGTATTACAAATTGAAGTTGAAATTATACTTATAGATTATACACATTAGTGCAAAATTGTTTGCAATGTAGGCTAAAAGAGCAACAGATAACTTCTATTAGTCTCATATAAAGGAAGAAGAAAGCGATATATTGTGGAATAACAACTTTCTCACTCTAACTACTGTTATTTTAATAATCTTTCTCCGTTCAACTCATTGAATTGACCGTATTGCCAACAAATTTGCACTTACCCATGTGTATCTACAATTTCGTGAAAAATTCGATTAGATTAATTATTATGAGGCGTACAGGTGTTTATTGATGAAGTTAGTAAAACTATAAAAAATTGTAAGTACTTATTTACAGTATGCTTGATCAACCAAAAAAACAGTTTACAAATAAATCAAATATAAAATAGTAACAAATAATCTAGATGATTTTAAATTGCATTTGTAACACTGTTTTTCATATTCAATGCAAAGCATTCGTGAATCCATATTAAGATATCTTACTTGTGAGAACCATACATTTCAATAAAGTAAACTGAAATAAAATATTCTTTTTTAATTGTTGTAAACAATAAATTATTGACTTTTCAGACTTACTATGAGAAGGTATCAGAAGTAGAAAGTGGACACCAAATGGGTGTCCTAGTTCCTAACCTAGCTAAATTTATATAGGAAGTTAGGAAGGAAGTAAAAATTGTAAAAGATGGTACCAAACACAATAAACCAACAAATAAGAAAGAGCCGGTCAACTTGAATTTCTTAGAAATGACGTTTTAACATTGACAATTGACTTGACAAGTTGGTGTAGAGGTGTAAGTGTAACCAACCTATAAAAAATATAATATCTATTTTACAGATTTTGATTTCTACTCGATAGGCAATTCACTTTACATTATCAGAATTAATTTTCTTCAAACTGTTCAAACCAATAAATTCCCTTCAGTTTCTTGGTACTCTCGTAGTAATTCTATGAGTTAAACAGGGATTATTAAAATGACAGTTGTTGGAGTGAGAAAGTGGCAATTTCACAATATCACTCTTTCTTTTTCCTTTATAAGAGAGTAATGGAAGTTGTCTTTGTTGCACCCATATACCATATTGGGTACACAATTGCACTTATCTGTATTTTGAACAAAATAAGAAACAATAATAAAATAATACATCTCTGTACTGCAGTTATTTTTATAAATCACGTGCTTAACTCGAACTTCAAAATAGATCTTGTGTCGATAATAAAATAGCAATCGATAAATCTCATTCAAATAAATAATCGTGCTTGAGGCGCGGAAAGTTGGCATTTGAGTTCTCTTATGCAATCCTCAAACTTTATTTGGGAATATTTTTTGATTCTAATTTTACCCAAATTCCAAATAAAAAGTTACTTCTCTTTTTTAATCGGCAGATAGTATATAACAATATTAAAGATTTAGTTTTTAACGAACATTCTGGAATACTTTAAATATCTTTACGTAGGTACTTGTTGACGAGGAATGCATGAATGAAATAATTAGAAAGTACCGTAATGCATCAAAATAAATACCAATCGATCTTGACTAATAGGAAATTGCTAAGATAGTGATAAATTGCTAAATAACACACAACTGACATAAGGTACAAAAATAAGTTCAAGTGCAGAACCCCACCACTCCGATCTTGATTTTTTTGTATCAGTTGTTTACCGAGCCGCGACTAAATCCTATAGTACTGACCTCTTCGATTACGAGTATTTTCGAAATAGTTCCCCAGTGATCAATTTCAATTATTTACTAGCCTAGTTTGTAAAAAAAACCTCCAAAATGCCGTTCAACGTTATGTTACAATTGTGCAAAATCACACGAGCCAGCAAACTGTTCCAGCGCAACTTCTACCTGCCTCTGCTAAAACCGCTCTCGCCGAAGGACGCCCTACGCAGGCACATCATCACCGGCAAGAGCGTCCTCAGCAAGATGGAGCACTACATTCCCGTGCTGGAGGAGTACCAAGCCCGAATGGCGAGGAAAAAGTACACGCCGAAAGGTTTGGGTAAAAAACGCCAACGCAAGAAGGCCACCATGCGATACGTCATGCCCTTCTTCGACGACGACATGGACGGCCACTCCAGAATGCAAAGCATCCTGCACAGAAAACCCAAGGGCCGCGGTCAATGCTACACCTACCACATACCCGACAAAAACTGCACCTTAGTGTTGAGCTACCAATTCGAACGGGCCATCCGAGACAAAGACATAGTCGACGTGATAATAGCCCAACGAACCGAGAAAATCGCCGTGGTGTTGAAAGACGGCGCGAAGATAAGCATCCCGATCGTCAGCTACGACGGAAAAGCCCCATTCTACCGAGGCGAAGGGTGGACGAGGAAAGAAATCGAAGAAACTCACCACCACGGCAAAGAGACCATGTCAGTCGCGAGGCTCTTCGAAGCCAAGGAATCCGGCGTGGAGGAATGGGAGCTGGAGATGATGCGAATGGCCGCTAAGAGGAAGAAGAAGCACAAGGGCGAGGGCACGGTGGATTGGAAGGAAATGATGGCCGCCCAAGCGGAGAACATCGACTGGGAGAAATTCGAAGACGACGCCAAGCAAATGGTAGAAGAACAAAACGAACCGATCGACGACGAGCCGATAGCGATGTCTGTAGGCGACATGGACAAAACGAGAAACGTCACGGAGAAGATCCAAGCGGCTGGAAGTGCGATAAGGGATTTGTTGCCGACGATGCCGGAAATTCCGGAAATTATAAAAATAATCAAAGACGAAGGCGAAATGACGGAAATAGCGAACGTGTCCGGGCTAAAGGTCGAATTACAATCGAAGAAACAAGAGCGATTCGTCCCTGGACAAATGGTGAAATCCGACGACGGCGATCTGTTCGTACCGGGCCAAACTGTAGTTAACGAACAAGGTAACGAAGAATACACCCCTGGATTCACCGTGATGCTTGAAAACGAGCCGACGCTCATTCCTGGATTGGTAATGGGCGACGATCCAAACAAAGCTGTCTTCTTGCCAGGAGATTCCACCATTACGAAATCTGGCGAACTTCAGTTCACTGAAACCGAAGACGACTACAAAGTAGGAGACGATACCCCACTTGAGCCCGAAGTGGAGGAGGTTGAGTTGGAGGAGGAGCAAAATAGCGAAGACGAGGAGATCGAAGCTCGGCCACCCCCCAAACGAGAAAAGAAGGAGTTCGTTTACGAGAGGCCAAAGCGACAGTTCACAGAAAGTATGGGTCCTAAGCGTCGTGAAAGAGGTCCTAAGTTGCCTAAAAAAATGTCTGTGCCGAACATCGAAGATACGCCGAGCGTGAAAAAATCATCGACCGAGCCAGTTCTGTACGATTTGACCGTGCCGCTGATGGAGAAAGACCTCCTACTGCAATTGAAGGATCGCGTCGACAATTTCACCGAGAAAAAGGCCAGAGAAGAAGTATCTATAGACAAGAAAAGGGCGGAAATACGGAAGAAATTACGTGAAATGGCGGCGAACAAACCGCCGAAGCCGAAATACGTTCCGTTAGAACCGGTAACTAAAAGTGAGAAATTAAAAGAATTGGAAAAGAACATAAAGAGAGGAAACTTTTTCGACGTCGACCATAAAAAGTACCTAACGAAGGAGAGAAATCAACCTTTCAAATGGTTGGAGCCGCCGGAATACAGAAACATTTTTGATACGGTGGGGATCATGCGTCACCGCATATGGAAGTCGGTTATTTAAGCCATCGCGTTATTTTTAGCAACAATTAATCGGGCCAAGCATCGATTGCAATCAAATCATCATCCGCATTTATAGAAATCCATCCCAATTCAAAACATCTAGTTCATTATCAGTCGATGCTAGACTTGATACGTGGTGGACAGAGTAGTACTTTATTAGTTAAAATAATTCATCAAAAGACTTTAAAAACTGGGTCGAGATGCCTATTAACGTGAAGATTTCTCTATGCAAGATCACTCGGGCCAGCAAGCTTTTCCAAAGGAATTACTATTTGCCTTTACTGAAGCCGCTCTCTCCCAAAGACGCACTTAGAAGGAAAATCATCACGGGACAAAACGTTCTGGGCAATAGAATAGAACATTACATACCCGTTCTCAAACCTCAGGAGGAAAAAGCAGCCGAAAAGAAACGAAGAGGTAAAGGAGTGCCGGTAATAAAGAAGCGCGTCAAACGGCACGAAAATGAACGCTACGTCGAACCCTTCATCGATGATAACATGGAATTCCACGGAATCGTACAAAACATTTTGCGCCGAAAGCCAAAAGGGAAAGGAAACTACTACATTTACGAAGTTCCCGATAAAAAATGCACCCTAGTCGTCGACTCCCAAATGGAGAAAGCCTTGAAGGATCGAGACATCGTCGACTTGGTAATGGCCCAACGCAGCGAAAAAGTCGTCGTCAAGCTAGCCAACGGCACCAAAGTCACCATGCCCTTGGCCCCTTTCAACCGAAACGTGCCGTTTTACCGGGGATCCGGATGGACCAACGAATACGTCGAACAAGAACACCACCACGGCAAAGAAACGATGTCCATCGCCAAATTGTTCGAAGCCAAAGAGTCCGGCGTTGAAGATTGGGAGTTAGAAATGATGCGTCTGGCCAACAAGCGAAAGAAGAAGCACAAGGGCGAGGACAACGTCGATTGGAAGCAAATGCTCCAAGGATGCGTCGAAGACATGGACTGGGACAAATTCGAGGAGGACACCAAACAAATCGTCGAAGAACAAGAGCAAGTCGTCGAAGAGGAAGACATACCGATGGAGGTCAACGACATGGAGAAAACCACCGACGTGGCGGAGAAACTGAAACTAGGCGGTTCCGTGGTACTCGACCAATTGCCCACCATGATCGAAATACCGGAGGTGATCAAAAACTTGGAATCGGGCGACATGTGCGAAATACTGAACGTATCCGGCGCCAAAATCACCCTACCGAGCAACAAAAAAACCTGCTTCGTGGTGGGCCAAATGGTCAAAACCGACGAACAAGAAGTCTTCGTCCCCGGCCAGACGATCGTCCAAGAAGACGGCTCGTCCGACTACACTCCCGGCATAACGATCAACGACAACGACGAACCCACCCTCATCCCGGGCCTGGTAATGGGCGAGGAGGAATCCAACGCGATGTTCCTGCCCGGCGAGTCGACCATCACCGAAGAAGGCCAGCTGAAATTCGAATCCACTCCGGAGGACCGGCCGAGGAAGTGGCGCGAACTCTCTCCCACGCCCCCACCAGCTCCCAAACCCAAGCCGAAAAGAGTGGAGGAGGAGGTGGTTATTAAGCGGCGCGTCATCGAGGAACCCAGCGAGCCGTTGATCAAGGAGCGAGTAAGAAAGAAACCGCCACCGGTAGTTGTCGATCCTCTCAAGCGACCCACACCTCCGAGGGAAGCGTACGTGCCGCGGAAACAGATGGAAGATCCTCTCAAGCTGATCGAGGAGCAGCGCAGGAAGCGCGAAGAGGAGGAGCGGAAGCGCATGCGGGACCGCCTCGAAGAAAAAATGCTGAAGGAAGAGTCCAAGG